CAAAGAATCCATCGCGTCGTGAGCACTCCCGCTGTCTGGAAGTCTGGTCAGAGCGCAATGGCCCGAACGCCATTGAGCAGTATGGTTTAAGCAGTATGGCTTTATTGCTGGAAGCGTAAAAGCTTACCTGGCACTGGTGTGTCCGGGAGAGCGAGATATATGTTGAATGTTAAATTGGCCTGTCGCCACAGGAACAGTTTCTTGTCCAAATTGGTTTGGCTGTCGCCGAACTTCGGTTTTGTTTTCGCCGGTGTGGTCGTTGAGAGGGCTGAGGCCACTGGAGATGGTTGGTGTTATCGAGGTTGATATTACGCTGACGCGACGAGGAGTCTTTGTTCTTATGAAAGGATGGGTAAGGAGAAGCCGATAAAAGGGACTGTCGACGTGGAAGACTTATTCTCGGTGGAAATGATTGGCAATTTGACTGTCGTCACAAGGGGGATTTGATAGTGCGTGTATAGAGCTGCCGCAGAAAAGTGATTTCTTTGCTGTGGAAGTTGGAGAAAGGAAAAGAAGCAGATGTCACCGTGAAAAGGCTTGGTTTTGTGGATAAGATTGCTGGATCACGGGACCTGGCGCCCCACGATGGCTTACGGAAGGTACCAGCTGAACTGGACTGTTGTCGTAAAGCTTCTCCTGTAAGCGGATGGTCGCTGGCGAGGCTGTGAGACAGCGGTTAGACGGACAACTGTGGGTTGCTGGGTGTAGGATATCGTTGCTCAGACCGCGCGCGCGCGCGAATGAAGGCGAACAAACAGTGCGCGTGCGGAGGGTAGGGAGCAGTATGACTCACCGTCCCTTTTGGCACGTAATTTTGAACGCAGGAAGACTCCACCTTTCTGTATCGTCTGTAAGCGAAGCCTGCGGTGCGCCCGGACTCCATTATTACGCTCGTGAGCGGAAGAGCTACAAAATCTGGTCGCGCCGAAATTTACTTTTTTAGTCATTGGATAGTGGTCGGAAAAGGAAGTGACTTAATTTTTCCTGTAGATAAAGAGGATGTCTAGAAAATGCTGTTAACTGCAGATCTCCAGCAGGCGGTGCCCCTGACGCGCAGAAGCGTTCAACACGTGTTAAGAAGGACCTTCCCAGACTCAATCGCGGCTCATATTCAGGCAGTAGGAACGTTCTCGGGCCATCGAGTGAGGTGTTCTTTTTTTTTAATGTTTTGTGGCGTTGAAATTGCGGAATTCGGGAAATATGGCGCGAAGTAACATTGAAGTTCACCTGGCTGAATACCAGCATATAAAAGCCGATGGTCTTAGTGGGACCTAAGAGCTTCTTTTAGGCCTAGCTCTTCTGTTTCGGTAATTAGTATTTTACCCGTCAGCAGTTTTCAAGAGGCCGTCTCTTGGGGTCCGAATTTGAAGTCAATAACTCCTACATGAACAGGATCACCAGCGTAAGTTTTCTGCTTTCTCCTTTCCTAAGCTACATTAACGAGACCATACGTGTGAGCCACGAATGCTTGCGGGATGGACTTGGGCTCATTATTAAATAGTTGGATGGAGAATGGCTTAAATTTCCAGTCTTCTAGCTTCGCAGACTCCCGTGCCATCAACTTTCCCCGCAAAAATGTAACCGACCCATTGGAAATATCCCCTGTCGATTTCAGCTTTGTAGCATCTCAAGTCCCCGAGTTATGAATTTACGCGGAAACGATTTTGGCGGGCTCGTACGCGGGTACCACTTTTCCCCGGGGGCTGCATTTAAGCTCATTAGTACCTACTTGGACGGGGAACATTCCCATAAAATTTCAGCATTTACCGGGGGCTGGATTTGAGCTCATTAGTACCTACTTGGACGGGGGAACATTCCCATAAAATTTCAGCTCTTCTTTTTTCTGATTCAGTTATCAACTTCCCCGTAAAAAACTTTGGCGGGGTCTTACGGGGGTACCGCGCGGGAAAGACCGCCCATTTTGGAGATAGGGGCCCGTACGTGCATGTAGATTAAGACCCCAAAGTTTCAGCCCCGTAGCTTTTGCCGGTCTCGAGATCATAGGGACCCGTGCGTGCATGTAGATTAAGTCCCCAAAGTTTCAGCCCCGTAGCTTTTGCCGGTCTTCCCCGTACGTGCATCAGATAAGTCTCAAAAGTTTCAGCCCCGTAGCTTTTGCCGGTCTCGAGATGAAAAATCGGTACAGAGGCCCAGCGCACACACAGACACACACACAGACAACCTCTTGTCAATATGCGTTTTTCGCATTGCATTGCTGCAAAAAACGCATAAAAAGAAACAATTCAGTGATTCCAGGTGGAAAGTAACCTATATAATTTTAGCAAAGCTACAAAAACTGTATGAATGATAATCCATTTAGCAGAATATATGAACATGAACAT